AGGCCTTTACATTCACTCACCACTCACTCACTGACTTATCCAGAGTAACTTCCAGTCCTACAAGCTCCAGGCCTGGTGAGTGCCCTATACAGGTGTACCATTTTTTTTTTATCTTCTGTACTTTATTTTTACTGTACTTTTTCTATGTTTATATTTACAAATATTTACCACTGTGTAACAATTGCCTACGCAGGGGTCCCCAACCTATGATGAGTTGTATAATTATTTCGTTATACATTACAATGTAATAACAATAGAAACAAAGTACACAATAAATGTAATGCACTTGAATCATCCCCGAAACTTTCGCCCCTCCCCAGTCCATGGAAAATTGTCTTCCATGAAAACGGTCCCTGGTGCCAAAAAGGTTGGGGGACCACTGGACAGTATTCAGTTCAGTCACCTGCTGTACAGATTTGTAGCCTAGGAGCAATATGTACTAGGCTATACTACCCAGGTCTGTATCAGTACAGTCTATCATGTTCGCACAACAACGAAATCGCTAATGCATTTCTCAGAATTATCCCCACTAAGCAAGACATGACTGTATTAAGCCGACACTTTTAGCATTCCCGTGCAAGCAAGCACCCTTAAAGCCTCAGCTCCGGGCATCAGAAACGTCCCGTCGACACAGGCTAAAGGGTGGATCCAATGAATTGGTATGAATTGCTTCATGCCACTTTACACGCACACACCTGTCGCTGAAGAGCCTGTGACTATCACAGTGGGAACAGGGGCTGTTCAAAAGGAAGTGGATTACCCTGTCCCAGAACACAAGGGAAGGGGGAGATTCCTGGTATCAAAAGAGCGAAGTGGGGGGACCCGGTGGCCCACCGCACCACGGACTCCAGTGGGGCTGGACACCCAGTCGCCAGGGGCCAGCGCCCCACAGTTGAGGCCGATCTCCGATCCGGCCCCCGAGACAAGCCACGGAGCCCGGAGCTCCAGCCCCACCTGGCGCTGGGGGCTCTCAGGGACTCAGCAGCTAGTCCCTCTGCCCTCCCACACTTCCCACACAAGTCCCAACAGGCCAGAGGAACAAACGAGGGAACCCTACACCATCCGGAGGCTCTGAGGGTTTCATCCCACTGCGCTGTGCTGGGTTTCTTACCGCGCATGAATCCTCCAGAGCAGCTGAGTTAGCGAGCCAGAGAAGCCCGCCCCGCTACGGCAGCGTTGGCTTTCGGGACCGGAAGCACATAGTTCCTGAGACTGCGTCACTTCCGGCAGGCCAAACCCGGGCTGGCGCGAGGCGGCGCCACAGACGGGCAGTAGTATCTCCTGGTCGGTGGGTAAACTTGGCTATGGATAAGTTTGTGGCGCGCTTGCGGTTTGAAGGGCGCTGCGCTGGACGCCGAGGACACAAAGATGAAGAGTGCTCAGTGCTGTGAACTGTTTAGTGGGCGAGATAGACGGGAGGATCGGTGGGAGCTGCCGGAAAGCCTTCTTTGAGGTGGTGCTCTTTCTTCAGGACTTTGAATAAGAAAACAAAAATCTGGTGAAATTGGCTGCGGGAGGGAGCCAAGAACATTCTAAGAAGATGTAAGCTAAAGGCGCAGCTGGACTGGGTCATTACGATAGACATCTGAAAAGGACATTTTTGGGGCTCCCGGGCGGAAGGCAGTGCCTCATGGTTTTCCTGCCCAATGCTAGTTGAGCATTCAGTTGAAATATCACACTTTTTGGCCTAAAAAGTTTAAGAGGAACGTTTTAGACCCCTAAATGACTCACTGTCTCCAGATCCTTCCAAACAGATAACACCACCAGTTGTGCCTAGTGAAAAAAACGGCATTATCACATCCGCTCCCTTCACCAGGACCGCTACTCCCATCAGCACGCTCAACCCATTTTACCTTTTGAATGTCCACTTCTTTTTACCTCTACGACCACCTCCTTTATCCCAGCTTTAATCATATCTCAGCTGGCTTACTGCAGCTGGTCCGGGCATTCATTCTGCCCCCACTCCCTCAAATCCATTTTCCCTGCCATAGCCAGGGTTACTTCCGGAAACGTAAATCAGATTGCCAAATCACATTGTTTCTCTACTGCTTTAAACTCTTCCATCGTTTCCCATTGTTTTTAGGATGAAGTTCAAACTCTTTGAGACCGTATCAAGACCCTGCCTGTTTCACCAGCCCTACCTTGCACAATCTCCCTTTCTTCTTCGAGCTCCATGCATAGGGTTATTCCCTCAGTTTCTCAAATGCCACGTGTACCTTGCTATCTCCAGGTTTTTACCTATACTGATCTCTTTGGAAGGTACTCCTTTTCTTCTTCCAGTTACTTTCTATTCACTCTCCAAGGCTTTTAACATTTTATTCTCAAGTAAGCCTTCCAAAGTACCTCCCCCACCCCCGCAATACTAGACCAGTCCTCTCTTGTGTGTTCATGGCAGTTTATACTTCCTTATGGCGCTTTTCAAATTTGTAATTACATGACGAATTGTAATAAGTTGTTTATTGTATCCCTATTACCTGATACATGGTTGGTGCTTTGGTGCTCAGTACACACTAGTTAACTGAATAAAGAATAAGTACTTTGCAATGTTTGTTTAAAGCAAACTAGAAAGTGACCCGTTTTTCTTTAAAAGGAAAGATTAAAGTCAGTACTGTAGGAATATTGGGATTTGGCATGGTAAATATAACAAATATCCTAGGTCATATGGTGGAGAAAGTTTTTAAGACAAAAAAAAATCTTCTGGCTCTTGAAGATAGGGAGCTTCTTAAAAGATGTTTGATAGTGTTCCTTATACCATAATGACCTCAACCAGCTGGCTTCAGGTTGTAAGTACCAACCTAGTGACATTTCATAAAGAGGTTTTATCTTTTGTATTAATAGATGCCAAGTTCTTGCACATAACATATACCACTAGAGGGTGCATTCAACTATAACTTGTCTTTTTAGTATTATACTGAATTTTAAACTGTAGGTTCATTCTTGGAAGTGAAGGAACATCTCACTTTGTTTTTGTGGAGGTGTGTCAAAGATTAGTAGTTGAGTAAATAGGTCACAGAAGAAATCCTTTGGGATTTAGAAGAAAGTACAGCTAACTCTACTGAACATTTTACAGGTGACTGGCACTACGTTTAATGTTTTATATTCATTACTTAATTAACACACCCAGGATCTTGTGAAGTAGGTACTATTATTTTCTCCATTTTGCAATGAGGAAACAAGTTCAGAGAGCTGAAATAATTTATCCAGGGTCACACAGCTAGTAAGAGGTAGAGCCAGGATTTGAACTAAGATCTCAGTCCAAAACCTGTGTACCTTGAAGTACTGTGGAGCATTGTTTGTCTCCTTGATCCACTTTAAAACATACTTCACAAAGTTATCCTTGTCCATGTGATATTTTTTTTTAGAATGTATTTAACACTTCAAGAAATTATCTTTTTATTCAATTTTCCCATTTACTTATTGAAGTACTGTAAATATGTTATTTTCGTAACAATATTATCAGCAAGGTAAATGTTAAGTAAGGAGCAAGGTTTTGATGAAGATTTTTTATGAAGGGCTGGTACCTCATTTTTTTAAGAAATTATGAAGTGTATCATGTGTACCGAAAAGGATATAAAGCATATGAAGTAATTATAAAACACATATTCATGTAAACATTACCTAGTTTAAGAAACTGACCATTGCCAGATGTTCTTTTTAATTAATGTCATTTTTTTGCATGGGCAATACATTTTTATGTATCAAACAAAAATAGTTTTTATTATGATATAAGCTTTCTTCAAACCATCTCTCATTCTAATGGTAAGTATAAATTCTGGACAAAATGTAAAAAACAACTACCTGAGGATTCTGAAGAGTAAAAGACAACTGTGGAGGGGAGTCAGAATTTGAAGAGACAATTAGCACATGGGTGAATGTCCCTTTGTGTTTGTGTGTCAGGGTCTTTGCTCTGAGGGTAGGCCATAGTCATAAAGTGGTACAGGACAAAAAGCCAAAAATATAATAGAAAGCCCACCACCATCGTTCTGGCTGGAAGAACCAGGAAAAGGAGCATGCAACAGCCATACCTGGAGAGAGGAGGAATTCTGGAGATCAGAGAGTCAAAAAGATGAATCCTCTACTTCTGTATATGAATTCCACACAAGTCTCAAGCTGGTCCCTGAACCACACATGCACAAGACAAACTCTGAGGCTTAAAGAAATCAACTGAGATTTGAATTGCCACTCACAAAAAGTGAGACAAAGCCTATGATGCAAGTCTAAACAAATTAATTGTCTGCTTAAATTTTTTATTTAAGGAATAAAACAGAACTCAGATTATATACAAAATAACACCCATAAAATAACACCCACAATGTCCACGATAAAATCCAAAATGACTTGATATACAAAGAACTAGAAGAATGTGAAACATTCTCAAGATTATCAACAGAGGGCAACCCTAAAATGACCCACATGTTGGAATCATTAGGGTCCTTACAGGACCTAATGAATGCTGTAAATTAAGACATAAGAAAAAAATGCTGTAAGTGATTTAAAAGATAGGATATCTCAGTAGAGAAATAGAAAGTATGAGAAAGAACCAGATAGAAATTTTAGTACCGAAATAGGGTATTTGAAATAAAAATTTATGTGGTAGATTTAGTGGAATGGAAATAACAAGCAGCAGTGAACCTGATGATAGCTTAAGCGAAAGTATCCAATAGGAAGGATTAGGAAAACATTTTTTAAATGAACAGAGCCTCATAGACATGTAGGACAATATCAAAAAGCCTAATAAGTCTGCAATAAGAGTCACACAAGGAAGAGCAGAGAATATGGGGCCAAAATTTCATTTAACCTATCCCATTTTTATGGATGTCTTGATTGTTTCTAATCCTTTTCTGTTACAACAGTCCTTTCTTATCTGTGGTTTGCTTTCCATGGTTTCAGTTGCCTGTGGTCAACCACAGTTTGAAGTATCAAATGGAAAATTCCAGAAATAATTCATAAGTTTTAAACTGCCCTGCTAAGTCGTGTGGGGAAACCTCCCACTATTCTGCATTATCCTACTCAGGATGTGACTCATCTCTTTGTCCAGGATATTCGTGCTATATGTACTAGCGCGTTAGTCAGTAAGTAGCCGTCTTGGTTATCAGATTGAAAACACAAAATATATATAAGGTTTGGTACTACCCATGGTTTCAGGAATCCACTGGGAGGCTTGGAACATATCCCCTATGGTAAAGGGAGACTATTGTATAGACAATTCTGCAGTGAAAAAGTCCTAAGTGTCATTTTGCACATATGCAAATATATCTATAGTATCAATTTTCAGAAGTAAAATTGCTGGGTCAAAAAGGATATGCATTTTAAATTTTAATAGATATTGCTTATTCTCCTCCTTAGAGCTTGGATCAATTTATATACCCAGCAGCAATGTATGAGAGCACTAGTCTCCCATGCTTCCTCAAAGAGTATAATGTCACACCTTTGGGTTGTTGCCACACTGCCATAGGTGAAAATGATACGCTGATATTGTTTAAAGTTTCAGTTCTGTTATTACAAGTGAGATTGAGCATCTTTTTATATGTTTAGGAGTCATTTGCATTTCCTTTTCTATGAACCAACAGTTTATGTCATTTCCCCGTTCCCCATTGGGTTGTTGGTTTTTTCCTTATTGATTTCTAGGAGCTCTGTATATATATTCATAATCAAATACTATTTGTAAATATTAGATTTGAAATAGAGGGAATATAGGGCCCCTTCTATACTTCTGGCCTACAACTTGCTGTATTATCTATCTCCCCTGCTGGACTGTAAGCACCAATGCATCAAAATGATATGGACCCTGTGTATCTTATTGTTGCTATTTATGTCATGCTTATGTTACAGGATTGATATATAGAAGACATTAAATTTTTATTGAATGAATATAAGAAGAAAGGTAGGTGCTTTTATATTTGATAAATGAGTGTATAACACATCAGAATGTTTTAAAACCAGTTGTCTAGTGTAGTTTAAGACAGTAGCAACCACCAGAAGAAAAACCCAGAAAAGTGGGTAGCCCATTCTCATATTCATTAATAAGTCTCACAGTAGTTTTGGCCAATAAAGTTTGTGAAGTGACTTTTATCTTGCCTTTGGCATTCATAACACAGAATTTATTTGCCATCTCTTGACAGACTCATTCGTTAACTGGTATCTGTGCCACTA